CCTCTTCCACTGAAAAGCTCAGGGCCTCATCTTCCTTCTCGTTTTCCCCTGCTCAGGCTAACAGCTTCCTGGTCTGGGAAGAGAAAGGGCTCCAGGACGTCTTCTCTGGAGTAAGACAGCTCGAGCAGGGCTGTGAAACCTGGAGGAGCTCTGAGCCCACTGTCTCTATGGTGCTGCTCCTCTTTGCCTCCCAAAAGTTGCTGACAATTCACTTTGTGCAGGCTGCCCCTGACAAAGGGACAATTGTCATGCAGACAGTCCTGGGGACAGTCCCAGATGGCCTTGGAGTGCTGCAGGACCTGAGCTGTGCAGTAGCAGCTCTCCCAGACACTGGATCAGAGTCAGAAGGATCCAGCACCTCCCATAGGCCCTGCAGTCCCACCAGGACCACGGCACTTGGGTCCAGAAGACGAGGGGGGGCAGGGCATCCATGCTGCTCACCCACATCTGCCACTGCAGCAATGGCAGGAGACTGAGCAGTGCCAGGTACCTCCAGAGCGTGGGTTCCATGCCCAGCAATCCAGGGAGAACTTCCACACCATGCGGGACCACTTAAAGGGGAAATATTATACTATGAAATTTTTAACAAATTTCATGAAAACAGTTTCCTTATAAAACTTTTGCCTTGCAACCAAACCCAAAGCACCGGGCAGAGGACAGCAGCACCTGCGTGTGCCACCTCTACCAACCAGATGGTGCCAATGCGGTTCCTGCATCTGGTGGCTTCTGCCCACTTGGCACCTTCCAGCTGGGCCTCCGTGCTCTGCACTGGGGGCAGATCCCTGCGCATCCCAGTTCTCGGCAGCGGGGAAGCGAGGAGCTGGGATCCAGCACCGTGCCAGGGTTCAGGCAAGAACACAAGCTGCAGGCAGGGCTGAGCCCGAGGCGGCCGCCTGTCGCCAACCACCAGACACGCGGCTGCCAGCGCGGCCTCGGCGCTTGTGGTGGGCAGCCAAGGAGCAGAACCGAGATAACGGGATGGGGGAGAGAGGAATGCGCCGCATTTTTCCTGAGCCACCGAGGGAATTGGCTATTCTGACTGTGGATTGCAGGGAGGCTGTCTGACAGGAACAACTCCAGGAGCCGAAATAGGAAAAACAGTCAGTAAGCAAAGGAAAAGAAAACAGAGAGAAATCAGGCTGAACAAGGGTTGAGTATGAGGAAAGGAGTGTGGGTGGAAGGCAAGCAGAGGAATAAATGGAAGAAGGAAAACTAGGGCTAGAGGTGGGGAAGGAAAAGGATGCCAGGAGAACAAACCTGCCAATGCTGAGACTCCCGATGAGCACCGGAGCTGGAAGGATGTGAGAGGGAACAGAGGCTCCCAGCTCTGCACACACAGGAGCAAATCAGGGATCACAGTCCTTTTATTGGATTAAGCCTCGCTTAAGAGGGAAGATAAACGTCGAGCACATCTCAGGTGACAGGCACAAGAGGAGAGGAGGCCTCAGTTCACTCTAAGTGGGGAGAACGGGGATTGCTGGAGTTTTGCCTATAGGGCAGTGTGAGGTCTCCATAGGAGTCACCAGCTTTCACCTTCTTCACCCCAACAGCAGAAGGCGATGGGCTTCAACTCAAGAGTAGTCTTGTGCTGTTTAGGCTTGGGAGCTAGATTAGGATTCCAGACTAGCAGAAAGTAGAGCTTTAATCAACCAGACCCCCAAACCCTTCCTTGTCTCCGTTAGCAGATTTTGCCTCATTTGCAGCACGCCCTGCGAGCCCTGGCACAGACCATCCAGCTAAGACAAGGAGAAGGGAATCAGCAAACCTGGGCAAAACCAGACATGTGCAGCCCCCAGGTTTCTCCCCCAAGATTGGGAAAGATCTCTGCAATGCTTCTCTCCAGGCACCTCCCAGCAGCAGGACAGCGGCTCACGGGAGCAATGGGCTGAGGTGATCGGGCACATTCATAGCCTGAACACTGGGGACTTTGTGGGGCTGGCTTTAAAAAAAACACCCTAAAAAAGCCTAATAATGAAGTATTTATTTCAGTAAACAACATATGAATGAAAGAAGTGTTTTCTCAATACTTCACTTTTTCCTCTGCCTTCTCTCCCTTCCCCCCAGCAATTTTGTTTTTAATAAGTGGAACTAACGAGGCTTCGCTCGCTGCCGGCCGAGCTGAGGAGCAGGACCGTGCTCCGCTCGCCTGGTGCAGCACATGAACATGTGTCATGGGAATAAAGCCTGCCTTGTGCCCAGGGGGAACACGACCCATCAGCGTGGCCCAACCAGGGAGATGTGCTTTGATGGACACACGGACTGTGAGAACTGCCATGGGAGCAGCCCTGAGCTTTTGGGTAGGCAGCACAGGACATCCAGCACCTCCTTTATTGTGGCAGCAAATAAACTGCATTCCCTGGCACAGGGACTCTGGCCCAAGGTGTCCCCAGGGACTGGGAAAAGGGCAAGGGGAGCTGAAGGCATCTCTGTCCCATCCTACCTGGTTGTGCTCAGGCAGCCACTGTGACACTGAACAGCTCCTTCTCTGCTACCTTGGCTCCATCCAGCCCTACCTGAGCACCTGAATAACTGGGACACTGGAAAACTGGCTCAGTTTGCCCTGTGTGTGGATGCTTTGGAAGGAATTTCAAGCAGGAAACACTAATTGCCGCTCCAGACTGACACAAAGCAAAGGCAACTGAAGATGTTTGGCTTCTCTACCTCCTCCTTGGCAATAGGTAACAGCAGGTTGAGGAGCCCTCCCTTGCCTTCAGGCCTTGGGGTTATGATAGGCAGGATACTCAGGAGCTGCTGATTTGGGAAAAAATGGTCCATCGCTTTTCCATGGCCCTCCAGCCCATGTGGGGTGAGCTGAACCCATCACGCACAGTGTGGGTGCTCACCTCTGCACAGAGGTAAGGGAAAGGATGCAGTGGTGGCCCTGGGTTATAAATACAGACAAATTTGATGCAAGTATTTGCTCTGGAAGACAAATGAGTCACCTGTAGATTGGCCAGGGGGTGAGCCATGTTTTCCATCCGCCACAGCCCAGGATGGTTTGGAGAGACTATCTGAGGATGCTGATCCCACTGTGATGGGCACAGATCCCTGGTGACATACAGGGAACATGGAGAAAAGCTGTTCACACCAGGGAAAAGGCCAGGGGATCCCTTTGGAGGTCTTGGCTGCAGGGGAGGCTGAAAAAAGCCTCTGAATTGCCTTGCCAAGGAAACGTGTGCACATGTGGGCCAGGCACAGGCACGGCTGGAGGTGCAGGATGCCCTGCGGAGCAGCAGCACTCCAGGATTCCTGTGCAGGTGCTACAGCTACTCTTTGGGAACAAAATTCCTGCACTGTAACAACTCAGCTAAGACTGCTCCTGGGTGTCTGCTTAACCACGGCAAGGAGGAAAGGAGGAGGAAGAAGCACGCTGAGATGGTTGGGAGCGGGCGGTGGCAGGGTCCCCTCCTTGTCATGGTGCCCCCTCCTCTGTGCCCTGACGGCACCTGAACCCCAGCACCCTGACCCACCCGAGCCTGGCTGCCAGGTTGGATGTCTGATCCAGCTCAAGGTGTCTCCAGCCACAGATAAAACCCGCAGCTGCAGCCTGGGTATCATCCCTGGCTGGGCCACCCGTGCCTGTGTCCCTGCAGGAACAGGGACATTGGGTCCATCTCTCAGGCCTTGCAGCCTCCAGCTCCAGTGATGGCACATGGAAAACCAAAAGCAAAGGCCATCCCTCTTCACCCAGAGCTCATTTCCAAGCTGGTTTACACAATGCCTCTAAAAGAGCATCATCTCCCGCTGCTGCGAGTTGTTTGCTGCACAAGGTGCTTTGCCAAACACAAGACAGATGGTTTCCCCCAGGAAAATGCTATGGAGCGAGGGAAAATGTACCACAAATATCCCCTGTCAGGGCTAAACTGGGATCCGAGGGCTTCAAAGAGACATTTAAAGGGAGGAAGGAGATTTGCTGACTTCTCATGCTTGTTTGTCATGAATAAAGACAAACTTTGATTGTTTTTAATGAGTTCTTTGCTTGTTTTCCTATTTGCTACACTACAAATTCACATATTTGTCTATTTGGGAGATGGAGAGTAATTGCAGACCAGGTTTCCTGATGACACCGTCTTAGCAAAGGAAAGAAAGTTGTGCAAGTGAAGGGAGAAGCAGTCTGTCCCCAGATATCCTGAATTCTTTGTCTGGCTCATTAATACCTAGTGAGCTTTGATGCCCAACGAACCTCACAGATAAAGGAAGCCTTTGAGGAGGGTCCCACAACCTCACACTGAAGTGTTAGAACACACAATAGATGCCAGAAAGATCTCCAAAAAAAGCAGGGAAAATGAAAACCAAACTTGACATTCTTGCAATTTCTAAGCATTTCTTTTTTTATTCCTTTTTCCTTCTTTTTTTTTTTTTTTTTTTAAGTTTTACCCTCTTTTATCCATCTAAGGAAGCAGAAAGCAATGCAATTCCCAGCTCTTTTAAATCTCCTTAGCAGGTCACCTCTAACACTGGGAAGGCTGACTGTGATCTGCTTCCAAGACTATTGCATCAGAGCTCAGAAACCCAGGATAGGGAAAGGAAGGTTTGGGAAAGGAAGGTTTGAGAAGGGAAGGTTTGGGAAGGTTTGGGAAGGTATGGGAAGGGAAGGTTTGGGAAGGTATGGGAAGGTTTGAGAAGGGAAGGAAGGGAAGGCAAGGCAAGCACCAGTGGTGATGTTTGCCAGAGGTTATGTGCTCATGTGCCCCAGCACACACACAGTTCCAACACCCACGTGAGCCCTGAAAGACTCTCATGGCTCAGTTTGTGGGGTCTCCTTCAACCTCCCAAGGAAAGAGCCCCTGGGGCTCCTCACTGCTCCCTGCACTGGGGCAAGGGGGATGCTCTGGGGGGATACCCTGGGGCAGCCTCTGCAGCAGGTGGAGGGGTTTGAAGGGGTGTTGTCCCATGGGACATGGCTTCCACAGGGACAGAGAGATGCAGCAGCGAGGAAAGGGGACAGGAGGGGGACTGGAGAGGCAGGAGCTCCTTACCCCAGCCCTGTCCTGCAGCTCTTACCATTCAATGCTCAGAGACCTGGGCCGGAATGCAGACAGCTCGGCCGAGGCATACTCAGCTTTCCTTCTCTTCTCCTGCTTCTGCTTCACCGACAAGCGGTGGGCAAACCTAGCGAGGCTGTTCTCCGACCTGGGGAGGGGAGAGGAGAGGCGTTAATGGCACTGAAGTGCCCAGCTCCCAGTGGCATATCTGTGGAGATGCTCAGCACTGAAAGGAGGGGGCTCCCAGAGGGTCAGTGGCACAGGGAAGCAGAAGAGAAGCAGGTTTAGCATTCTTTGAGCAGGACAGGACCAGCACAGACCCATGTTTGCCAACTGAAGGTGCAGCCTGGCAGGTTGAGAGCACCAGGTCCTGCTCCCTCTGCAGCAAAATCACCTCCCCAGGCTTTGCATTCCTGCTCAGACTCCAACTGATGATGGGCAATGCTGGAGAAACAGCCAGCGATATGTTGGTGGAGAGAATCAAAACTAACCCCTGCCTTGGCCACACACTCCTTCAGAGAAACCCTGGAGCCCCTGTGGCCTCCCAGCTGGGGCTCCCAGACACTGGGACAGCTTCCCTGAGGAGGACTGACACAGAAACCAGCTCACACTGGAGAGGTGTCAGAGGAGAAAACAGAAATGTGTGGGAGCATATGGGTTCAACTGAAGGACCCATCTGTGCTAATAAAGCCCCTTCCCACCAGGTGGGATGTCCCAGACATTCCTGGGACCTGGGAAAAGAGCATCTGCAGGCTCTGGGAACATGCTGCACACCCCTCTCCACTCCAGCCCTCTCCAGAGGAGAGCTGATGTTCCAAGGCACATCTGCACTGTCTCCAAGCCCAGTGGCAGAGAACTGGCACTGAGGTTTGCTCAGGAGGCACCTGCCTTGCAGAAACCTCCTTTCCTCTCCCTCTCCCTCTCCTTCTCTTCTCTCTCTCCTTCTTCCTTTCCTCTCCTTAAACCAAACCAAGTACCTCCAAAAAAAGAAAGAAAAAGCAAAGGTATTTCTCAGAACTGAGAGCTCCCTGCCTTTCCTCACAATAATTAAGCCAGCCCCAGCCAGCTAACAGTTTTTTCCCTGATACATTTTAAACACAGACATCTTCAATTCATTAACTCTGGTTATTGATTTATTTTTCAGCTTATGAATTGCTGTTGCTGGGGATAGGGTGGAGACAGCTTTCTGGAGAGGGCTCTTGTCTCTGCAGTCACTGCCGGCAAAGAGCCGCTCAGACCTTCCAGGGTCATTCTTTACATTCTTGAGAAGAAATCCTACTTTGATGTAAAGGATGAGGTTTGCCTTAAAAGAAACCCAGCAAGAAACCCAAACCCCAGCTTTCCTCCGCTCGCACCCGGAGGAAGAGGCGATGAAGAGGAGCGATGTGGGAGCCCAAGGAGCAGAGCCCAGCACCAACACTGTGCCCAGCACCAACACTGTGCCCAGCACCAACACTGTGCCCAGCACCTCGCTCTCCTTTGATGTGGTATCAGAGCTCAGCTGCCATGGATAAGAACCCCGCTTGTGGAAGGGTGAGGGGCGGGCATGGAGCCAATGCTCTGCTACACTGGCATGGTGTGGACCCCAGGGTGAGCAGGACTGACCCCCAGGAATGGGGCTGGGTGCTGGGAACAGGTGCTGTTGGGTTCCTATAGCACCTCCTTGGTGCCATTTGACTGTTCCTGCCCGCTTTTCACCCACCCAGGAGAGGCTCCTGCCACCCTGCAGCTCCAGCTGAAGGGATGCTGGGGGTGTTGACCTCATGAGATTTGGGGACTGCCTGGAGAACGCTGCCCTGTTTGTTGCACTTGCCCCATCCTCACCACACTCCCTGCACCATTACAGCCACCCCTCCCAAATTGGTCCCCAGCAGGAATGAGGTGCTGGGAAATCCCAACCCCCCTGCATGGATTCAAGAAGGCAGCAACCCCCATGACAAACAAGTGCCTCTGTGGTGCCAGTATGTGCCTCTTGCAATGACCACCACTGGGACAATGACACACTCAGGAGGTTTACCTGGATCTATCCACCTGCCCGAGCAGGGAGGGAGCAGCCACTGCATCCTTCAAGTTGGACAGAGCCAACAGCATCTGCCAAGAAGAGTTGGTGGGGGAAAAGAGGGCAACAGGGCTGAGGATGAAGGAGAGTTAGTCCTTGGGTCAGGTGTGCTGGCAGGGCTGGAGAAGCCACCTGGAAGCTCAGGAACATGTGGCCTTGCTGTGACTCCCTAATCATGGCATCAAAGGGAAGGCACAGGGAGAAAGGTGATGGATGCCCAGGGCATGTGCTGCCTAGATCTGCCTGACACAGGACAGGCAAGCCAGGCCACATACAAACCAGAAGTTGACCAAGAACTTTAGGGTGCTGCTTTCACCCCCCAGAGCAACCTTCCAGCCTGCCAGCCACCACCTCCAGCTGCTCATAGCCCCGTGAGAGGAGACAACCATGAGGGTTCTGATAGGCTGGCACCTCCCCCTTGAGAGCTGTCAGCAACTCATCCAGCCATGAACCAGCCTCCTCTCACCTCTGCCAGCCCCAAAAGCTCCAGCAGAAGCATCACTAATTAGAAGCCAGGAGCACATTACAGATCATCTGGCTATTTATACAGAGCTGCTTTACATAAACTGTGCTGCAGAAGGGGGAATGAATCATACCTGCTCTGCCGTGACTGCAGCCTGCTCTGCCCCTCTCCCCTCGCCCCACCGAGGCCCTGTTTGTGGTCAGCTCCCCTGAGCTCCTCTGCTGGGGCTACTCCCATTCCCTAGGATCAAGGTGCTCCCAGGGTCAGGATGCTCCCAGGGTGGGGATGCTCCCACAGCTCTGGGCATTGTGCCCAGGTCTGGGCTTTGTGGTGTTGAGCCTCTAACATGGGGGATGCTGCCAGGACCACCCTTCTGCTTCCCAAGCACTTTCCAAACACTAATAGATGCCTCTATCCCTTGAGAAAGGTCAGCATTAGGGATTTTAAGGGAAACTGAGGCATGAAGACGCTGTGCAGGTGAAACAGTTTCCCTGTGGTTGGCAGCATCCATCCCTTTGTGTGCTTCACTGAAGACTTCTCTGCCTTCCCCCACCAGTACCACACACTCAGCACCACAAGTGCTGCTCTGGGCAACAGGCAGCCCCAGGGAGCCACTGTCACCTTGAGTCAGCTTCATGGTAGCTGTGGGATGGGGACAAGGCCAGCACTGCCCCCCCAGCCCTGCCACTGCGTGGTACTGCTCCAGGTCCAGCCGGGCAGGATCCGGACTCACCTGCCCAGCCCTCCAGCAGAAGCAGCATCTCTGCAGCAGCTCAGTATTGGCATGGTCAGGGCTTGGCAGACCTAGCTGGCACCTGCCAAGGCTCTGTGGCAGTGCCTGCACCCCAAGGGGACTTGCCAAGGCTCCGTGGCAATCCCTGCACACCGAGGGGACACGCGGGAAAAGCCATCAATTGGAACACCAACCACAGTGCTGGAGAGAATTGTCTCCTGACAACCAGAGAAGGTTGTTCAGCAACTGTGCTGTATCATAAATCACACCTCTATGACTTGCCATCTGTCAGCCAGATTACACATGTTCAGAGTCCCATGTCAGTGTTTAAGTCAGAACACAGCATCTTTCTCCCAGAAATAATTATTGGTGTTGAAGGCTCTTGCAGAAATACCCATCATCAGCCCTTCCATCCAAAGCTCTGGACAGAACAGAGCTGGCATTCCCAGAAGGCAGGACCACTGCTGCGGCACAGGGATGCACAGCCTCCATGTGACATGTCCCCCATAAACCCCCTGCTTCAGGCACACGGGGGGTGGCAGGGTCGGATATAGCAAACCCCCCCCGGCACCAGGCATGGCACCCAGCACCCCGCACAGAGCAGGCAGGGGCAGCCAGAAACAGAGGCTGCTGCTGAAGGGAGATGGGGACAGTGCTGTCCCCAGCCTGGTGTGCACTGAGGGCCCTGGAGTGTCCAACTAGGATGAGCAAAGGGTGCACAGAGCAGCACTGAGACCCTAGCCTGGCCAAGGGGGCAGAGATGGGCCCAGCGCAGGGCACAGCTCCCACAGCCCTGATATGCTGTGAGTGCCACCAGCCTGTGCCCATCTCTTCATCCTACATGTCTTCTGGGAGTCCAACCCCACCATGGGCAGCTGCCGAAGCCCCTGGTCTGCCAAGGCAGTGGGGACACAGGCAGAGCACGGACACGGTGGGCTGGCAGCCTGTCCCCATCCTGTCTGTGGTTCAGGCAGCTCGCTGAGCCAGCTCAGGACACAGCATCCCAGCACAGAAATCCCTCAGCTGCCCTCTGGGATGAGGACAAGGGGTTGAAGTGCCACCCTCCGCCCCCTCACCGGTCAGGCAGGCGGATAAGCAGTGACATTTCCCAAAGCTCAGCACAGAAATACACAGGGGCTGGATTCATCCCCCTGGCTTCACCCTCCGGGCACAGGCATGAATCCGGCCGGGGGCTCGCAATGCCTCACCACCACTTCCCCCATGCCACAAATGGGAAGTGATGACAAGCAAAATCCTGGTCCCCTCAGCTCTGCATCCCTCCCTCCCCTGCGGTGCCCCTGGAGGAACACCGTGGGCTGATCTGCTAAGAAGCCTTTCAGCAGTTCGCAGCCGGCACGGTGAGCGTGTGCCCGCGGGCGCCCGGGGTGCCGGCGTGTCACCTCACCCAGTGCTGGCACAGCACGACTCGGCTGTGCCACGGCCAGAGCTGCAGGGAGACCGTGGTCCCAGCAGGTACAGCTGCACCAACCTGTGGGTGAGGGATGACCGAGGTCACCAGAGTGCCAGTCCAGGCACCAGCCCCGGCAACACCTCTGCTCCACCAACACACTCAGTCAAAGCCCTGCCCACCTCGCGGGCACCAGCCAGCCATCCCTCAGTGATGGAGATAGCACATCCAGGCAGGAATAGCTCCCACTTGTTGCACGCCTTAGCCTGAGACTTGGGAGTCAGCACATGCCTGTACATGACTCTGAACTAACCCAGGCAGGCAGTTCCCAGCCTCTTCCATCAGCACAGACGACAGTCCCGGGCTGAGCCATGGGGTGGCTGTGGGCAGCTCAGGTACTTGGCAGCAAGCAAACAGGCAGCGTTTCAGCTGGTCCTCCCTCCTTTGGGAGCAGCCACTGCACAAACAGCTTAGAGCTGAGCTTATCCCCACGGGCATCCCGGCTGCAGCCAGCCTTGAGAAGGTGGCTGTGCCTGAGAAGGTGGCTGTGCCTGGGGTGAGCAGGGCTGGAAGCACATAGCCCTGCACTCCCCACAGCTACGGGGTTTGGCTCCTGGCAGTCTTATTTGCACAGGTACAGTTGAAATAAAATAGAGGGAAAACAAAGCTGGAAAGGTACTTCCCGAGCAGGCAGCAGTCTTTCCGGAGAGGGGGGTTTTGGAAAGGGGAGACTCGTGGCCATGGACATGCAGTCACAGCCCCTGGTCACAGACCCTGCTCACTGGCAGCACGCTTCCCACTGCCCACGGCTCCGTCATGAGTGTGTCGCCAAGGCAGCAGCCGGGACAGGACCCCCAGGAGCTGTGCACAGCGGTGCCGTGCAGGGAGAGATGGCCGGGAGCGGCGCGAGCGATGCTCACTCACCTGTACAGCCTCTGCTCCCTTCCCTCCTGGCTCTGCCGATCACCCACTGTCGGAGCAGCAGTTCATCCAAGAGTGGCTCTTCGTGACAGTCCCTGTCCCCTCTAGGCACACTCCCATCCCGGCCGGGGTCCCCTGCTCCCACCCGTCACCCGACCTCCTCAGCCGCCGCCTCCGCTTCCCTCACCCATCACCTCAGGTTTCTCGTTTGCTCTGTGCTTGGCTCTTTTTTTTCTCTCTTTTTTTTTTTCCTCCCAATCTTGTTTCTATAGAAACAAGATTAGCAGAGGGGGAAATAAAACAGCCCCATGTGACTCAGATTCCGACACTGAAGAATCTCCTGGTTGCGCTCGCCGCGGCTTTACATAACCACGAGGCTGTGCGGGCTCAGCCTGGGGGACCGGGCTCGAACAGGGCACCTGGCTCAGTCAGGGGGGACAGGGATCAATCAGGGAGGGCCAGGCTCACATGAGAGGGGGATCAGGCTCAGGTGAGAGGGATCAGGCTCAGGTGAGGAGTACCAGGCTCAACTGTGGAAGGACCACCAGACAGAAGGCAGCGATGTCTCACCTCCGCTGGCACTGGGCTTGCTGTGACACTCCTGATGCTACAGCATGGCACCAAACCCCACTGCCATCCCCAGAGGACACTGTGAGACCCTGTCACCCTGCACGGCCCTGCTTTGCTACCTGTTGCCATTGAGAAAGGGAGAAAGCAGAGGTAGGGATCCTGAAAACTGCCCTGAGTGCCACCAAAACCTCTGGGGTCCCCAGGTGAGCTTTGGAGGAGGAAGCCCCAAGACCCCTCAAGCTGCCAGGCCATCCTGCCCCTGCCCTCACCACTCAGGAAAGTGGTTTTGGCCACTGATCTCAAATCTTCATGGATTCATTGGTGAGCTGCAGACAGCCATGTGCTCCATGCTCTGGACGTTCCTCCTCCTCAGTCTCCCAAATTCACGAGCAATGTCTGTTGCTGGGGCACACAAACAATAGATTGAGCTCTTCCACCACTGTTTTGGTGACCAGTAGGGGACAATGCTCACAGGCACTTCCCAAGCCCAAAGGGGTGCTGCACACCTGAGTTCCAGGTGAGCTGGGAAGCACTGAGGACCCTGTCTGAAGCCATCCCCTGTGTGTTCCCTAAGCTCCAGAACAGATTCTGACTGCACGTGGCCATTGCTGCCTGCCAGGATCACACACTCAGGGCTTCTGTCGATGATCTCCTGTGTCTGTTTGGGACACTGCCCTTCTGCTGCACCTTGAGGGGGCTCAGCCCCTACTCCCCAGGTGCTGCCCAGGGCTAAAAAAGAAGCAGAGTGACTTTTTACTTAATCAGACAGTGATAGGACAAGAGGAAATGGTTTTAAACTAAAAGAGGACAGATTTAGATTAGGTGTAAGGAAGAAATTCTTCCCTGTGATAAGGGTGGTAAGGCCCTGGCACGGGTTGCCCAGAGAAGCTGTGACTGCCCCATCCCTGGAAGTGTCCAAGGCCAGGTTGGACAGGGC